CTTCTTTAAAGCCGTGTCGTGCGGGCCGGTGCCGCCGAGCAGACCCGGGGACCCGGCCGGCGGCGGGACGCGTCTGACCCCTGGCCCGGCCCCGAGCCGCCCGGACTCTGACACGGCCAGCGCCCACCGGCGCGTCACAATTGACACGGCCAGCGCCCGCCGGCGCGTCACAATTGACACGGCCAGCGCCCACCGGCGCGTCACAATTGACACGGCCAGCGCCCACCGGCACTTCACAATACACACGCAGACGTACTGACCCGGTGTAAAGCTCAAACCGCATCCGGCGACGTCGACAGCTGTCGGGGTGGCTTTAGCCATTGCGATTAATGGAGATTGTTGCAACTGATCTACAATAGCATGCGCGTAGACCTGGAGATGTCGGCGCTGATCTCCGGCATGACATGGACGTTGCGTGTTGTTGATGCTTCATCTGCGGAGACAGCTGTTCATCACCGGAATGCGCTCCCGTCCCGCTCTTTGATCCCCCCCCCCCTCTGCCTTCTGCTTTAACAGGAGTGGCTCTCCATCCCTGCTCGCTGACCATACATCGCCCTTTCATCATCAAGTCGTGTTTTAACCCCGCCCCCTGACTGCCAACATGCAAGGATCACATGCACTCACTACCCGGCCCATTCGAGCCGAGCCCTGTCCCCGCCGCGTTCCGGCCGGTCCTCTGACGACCTCCGTGCTGCCTCTGCAGGCTGCTGTCGTCGAACGAGACGCTCTCGCACCGCGTGCCGGCCGGCCAGACGAGCTTCTCGGGCGTGCCAGCCGACCGCTACCTGGCCTGGGTGCGCGCCGAGACGGCCCGCGGCGCCGGCCCGGCCAGCCCGTACCTGCGCACGGCGCCGACGGCGGCCGTGCCGGCGGCCGTCGTCTCGTTCGGCGAGCGGCTGGTGACGCCGTGGCGGCGCTGGCTGACGCTGCCCTGTCGCCACCTGGGCCTGCCGCCGCCGACGATCACCTGGCTGCGCAGCGGCGACCCGCTCCCCACGTCCGACCGGTGAGCCGGCGGCCGCTGACGCCGGTGCGGGGCGGGGGACTGGCGGGTGGGAAGGTCTAACGGCTGAGTGAGGGCGGCCTGCCTCTGGAGGATGCGGTGTCGGTTCATGAGGGGCCGCGGGAAGCTCAGATAATTCTCCAGTTTGTGGTTGTTAGTATGTGTAGATAAATGGCCAAAAGCTTTGCACAAATGCTGCCTGGACGAAATGCTGTTTTGATATGGCTTGCACATTTAAGAATAGTTTGATGGCCCCTACCCATGGTCTTGGTGGTGTCTTTGAAATATGAGTGGAACAGATCAGTCACACATTATCTTGTTATCATGAGTTATACATTTTCACACACATCTTTCGGTCCGTGGCCTGCAGTACCCAGTATTTTTTTCCGCATATTACTGCAAGTATTGAACGCATTGAATGATGTTACGAAGACTTAAAGTGTATCATTGTTTTTTCACATTACATTTCACATCAGTGTATTTTCACATTACAGTTGGTGGCCATCGGATAAGAGTGCATGATAAGTGTCGCCTGATTTCCACACCATATAGTTTGATACTTAACATATGCTTGGAAAAGATAGTCGAGATTTTCGATCACGACTCCGAAAAAAATGAGCTGCCTCGGAGCGTATATCTCGGACCAGTCGCTCCCAACTGCCGATCAGCGGACATCTCCGCTGATACCACACTCGTAAAACCTGTAACGGCATCTACGGGCAGCTGCGAGTCAGAATGGATCTGTTCCGCGGGTAATTCCACTTCATTCTGGGCTCCGCCCTCAGCAGGGCACGTGTCCCCGCCTCCGCCGTCAGCTGTCAGGCGTTTGGACGCTGCCGGGCCGTTTTGATGGCTGCACTGCGATAGTCACCGGTGCCGGCCGTGCGCAGGCTGCGGCAGATGCAGAACGGCTCGCTGGTCATCAGCTCGGTGACGGCCGAGGACGACGGCGTGTACACGTGTGACGTCACCAATCGCCACGGCAGGGACAACATCACGTACGACGTGGTGGTGATCAGTGAGTGCGCGCGCCGGCCCTGGTGGGGTGCTTTTCGCCTGAGGCGTAACATTGCTCTCGATTGGAGGGGCGGCATAGTGTTTTGAAGTGAACGGTGTCACATGAATTTCCCGAACGAATTCAAATACTTTCGGGTGTTTGGATATTCTTTTGTGACAGTTTGCCTGCGCGCACGTGATCGTTTTAGCACGCCATTCATGCTTCGATGTTGTTTGTGATGGGGTAACAGTGCATATGTCTCCTATGTTGCTTGTGTGTAACAACAAACCTTGCTATTTCTTCTCCGAACCTGCTGCAGTAGTCCGTCATCGAAGCGCTTAGAGGAAAACTCACGATGAAGCATTGAACTGCGATGGAGACGTGCCCCATGCGCATGCATCACCATGGATCTTACATCGATCATACTGCATCACGTGGCCTTTTACAAGCGACACGGCAAAGTTGGATGGGGCATGACGCATGACAGATAGGCTTGATTGCTTTAAGATGCAATCAACTTCTTGAAAAATATCACGTACCGCATCTGTATCGTCAGACAAAAATGTAGAACTTTAAATCTAGTCAGCACTAAGACAAGCGACACCAAGATGATTACTTTGTCCTTGATGACTTTGTTTCGCACCCTGTGCATATTTCAGAAGACTGCGAGCAGCACACACTGAGTGAAGACGCTTTCAGCCTTGGGCTGAGACCCTGAAACATTTTGGCCATGCATCTGCTGCTGAAGTCTGTAAACGCGCATTTCTCGTGCTGAAATTCGGTTCACTATGCCATTATTTGCGTGTTCGGTGGTACCAACTCCTGCTGCTGACGATAAACGGCAGTCACGGAAAGCCACGCTGTCGCACGTGGTCTGTGTGCAACATCACAGCATGCGTGTTTTGTGTTAACCTTTCAAGGCATCACACAGTGTCCCGCCCCGTACCTCTTGATTCGCGTGGACCTGTCACAGAATACGCTGGCTTCGTTGCGGCACCACTAGCGGCCGGCCCACCGGCCTTCAGTTCAGACGCTTGTCCTGTGGCCCCACATGACACAATGACCTCACAATGGCAATTGGTTGGTAATGATGGATTAACCAGCCGTTTTTCGATTGCGTCCGTCTTCACAGCTGTTACATTCGGACGTAATATGTCCCGCCTAAATAGACATGGGCGTCCACTACACGGAACCTGCTGGCTTATAAAACGTCTTGGCTGTCGCCGCTGGAAAAATTCACTCTGGCTCGTATCTCGGACGAAGCTCAAAAGAGTCTTGCGTCTGACAATATCTGTATGCTGTATGTGGACGCTACTGGCGTCCAAGTTTCCATTAGTTAATGCAGTGGTGACGTCAGCTGGCCGTATATCTTGGGTCGATGTACGAACAACTTCTTGACTTGAACTATGACTATGAACTGAATCAGAGAAGAGCTAAAACTGATTGAACTCTCTAGCTGTTTTGCCTCATCTGTGCTCGCCAAGCAGAATGAAGGGCAGTGCGGCGCCCAACGAAGATGACTTCCGACTGACTTTTCTGCTTTACACATCTATTCTAGGGATGCACGTGGAACACACTGTGGGCGGCTTCGGTGAATGGTATTGTCATTCTTCCGGCCAGCAGGTTTCACGGAATCTGTAGCACTTGTGGCTCAACAGAAGCAAGTAGTGAGTCATTCTCTTTGGATGGCTGTGAGTCTTTATCTAGAGATAAAGCCACCCATTGTAAGGAAGGGCTGCCTCAAAATGTGTGTCTTTAACCACAATCAAGCTGTGCGTCCGTCTCCAGGGTATAATCAAAGTAATGTGAATGATATAGCGGATAACTTAAAGCAACGACTCAAAACGAGGTTGGCTTGATGAGTTTCCTGAGCATTTTTTTTTGGGGGGGGGTGGGGGTGGGGGTGGGGGAAGTTCGGTATAATTAAACAATGGACGTAGCTCAGCAGCCAGGAAGGCAGGCCTGTGGTAGGGAAGTTTTGGCGGCGGTGCTCTGAAATGTAAACAGCGCTGTTCAATATTTGGAAGACTCCGTTTTATGAAGCTGCGTCATGGGCTATAACCTTTCAGAGTAAGCTTTCTTGAGACCAAACCCGAAGTAATGAACTTTTCCAGACGCCACGAGCGACCTGGCCTCTAAAGAGCGCTTCAGTGGACCCAATGTGCCTTTGACCTTCGCTGCGCTTTCAATTTGCTGACATGGTGGCCCGGCCTGCATGCTGTTGTATGCTCGATGGGAGTGCAGGATGTTCGTCTGCTGTTGCAAACTTGCCTGGCCTAATCTAACTATTGACATGTTTTGACCGGCGGGCTTGTCGTCTGTTCCGGTTCAGCTGCACCGACCTGTCGCCGGGGCTGATTAGTCTCGTGGCCCCAGGTCTGCTGTCTGCTCTAGTGCAGTGCCTCCAGCCCGGCGACCCGGGCGGTGGGCTGGCCTGACGTCTGAGCACACGGCCGCCATCCAGGCTTGTGGCTGGCTCAGCTCCAGCGGACGGCCGCGAGCTCTAACGTTGCATGGTGCTTGGCAGGATTTTGTAGGCGAGAAAACACTGTTCTGGCTCGAGTCTGATTCCGGGAGACGTGGTTTAATAGGCTTTGATGTTGTTTATTGTATTGCCAACAGCGAGTTAGATTAAGTGTTCAATGGATCTCAGTAAAATAATCACGAGTGCCGTCAGGCGCATTCTGTCCAAACAGGACTCACCGTTGATTGCATCCTACACTTTGGACTCAGCTTCAGTTGCAGCTAGTTTAAATATTTAATTTCAAATCGATTTTACCCTGAATCAACGAAACTTGTGTTAATGCTGGTGTCGACCCCGACTCCAAAGCACAAGCACAAACTTGTCGTCGTCTTCCGCCGATTCTAGAGGTCACTCCTTGCTTGGCGCGCCTGACCATCGACCGAAGATGAAAGCTCAGGTCCACTGTCCTGGCCGGTTTCATGCTCCTCACCCCCACCATCCGCCTGGAAGCGACTGGACCGCCAATGACGGCCGGCCGCCTACGCATCACGCCCAGCACCGCGAGCGCCCGAGTCGAGCCGACCTGAGCGCCGTCTGCCGGCAGGCCCACCGTCGGCGCCGGTGCCTTACGTCCGGCACGTGACCAACAGCAGCGTGCGGCTGGCGTGGACGCCGGGCGCACCTGGCCGGCTGCCGGTCACCTCGTACCGGGTGCGGTACGCGCCGGCGGCGGCGGCGGCGGCCAGTCCGGCCAGCTGGAGCAGCCGCGAGGTGGCCGCCGGAGCCACTGAGCTCGAGCTGACCGGCCTCGTCTGCGGCACCCTCTACCGGCTGGTTGTGGAAGGTGGGGCTTGACGACCCGCACCAGACCCGGGCCTGGAGAGAGGGCAGGGAAACTGTTATTGATGCATACCACACTGCTGGTGGGACCACGCCTGCTCAAGCGGCACGTGGTATTCCGTGGGGACTGGATTTTTATGACATCGATGGTCGATTGTGGAATTATTGCCCGCCTCTGATCGGCGGTTTGCGCTTTGCTTATTAGCAAGGTCCACGTTCCAGCGCTCGTATGTTTTTTTTAGGATCCCCATGCCCGATCCTCTCCCAACCATGTAGCATGAATGCTAGATTAGCTACGTTTATTGCCGGATCTTTTTCTTGCAACGCTTAACTATGTGTATTGCCGGATCCATTCTCTGCAACAACTGGCCAGGGACAGTAATCATGCAGCTGTTGGATGAGGTGATGCGCTGTTCCATCCATGAAGTAAAAACGCACACTGGGTGACCCAGCTGAAGTGGTGTCCCACCTTTCAGCGACGAACCGTCTTGGTTCGAGTGGCCACCACAGCACTTTGGAGCAGGCCACGCGGGGCTACCTGGGTCGATCACCCGAACCATCCGGAGTCATCAAGGTCAATCAAACGTCTATCCAGCTCAGCTTCGACCCCTGGAAGACGGAGTGCACCCTGGAGGGGTTTATCGTGTCCTACTGCAGGCTCGATGATTGGAAGAAAGGCAAGTCATATTGGATGTTGGGCTAATCAAGTAGACGGTGGGGTCTCGTCAGGTTCTGAAGGCTGTCCACCCGTCTTTTGATTGGTTGGCCAATGTCGAAGTGACTCGGCGGCTAGCGCCCCGCGCGGTCGGCGTAGGTCTTACCCGCCGGTGGCTGTCCGGGCAGACATGGGTGCTCTGTATATATTTTGTGCCTGGATGGCTCTGATCGGTCACGCCCGACCCAATGGAGCTCGGTAGTCGCCCGGCTCACGGGCGATGTCCACCGTCCGGCAGTGCGCACGATCCATACGTCAGCCCGCCGCGTGACATTGACCGGCCTGCCGCCCGACGCCGAGTACCAGCTGGCAGTGACATCTGTCGGGCTCGGCTGGAACCGCACCGCCACCTACCGCGCCCGCACCCTGCCACGCTCAGGTGAGGAGGCTGGCACGCGGCCGGTGGGGAGCCGAGCTGTGGGGCCGGGGCGGGAGAAAGGAGAGATTACAGAGAGGTATTCGAGTGGTGTAGGAAGCTACAGTGGGTGTCGCAGAAAAAGACCCACCGACCGAAAAAGCACCAAATGGCCGCTCTACGCGGAAGACAAGCAGATCCGCTATCCGCGCCATCCATCAGATCCGCGCCATCCGCTACAGCTTTCGAAGCCAAAACAGTCTCGTAGTCAGGTATTGGTTTGGTTTTGTTACAGTCTCGCCTGTTAGCACAATAAACATGCGGTATCTCTGAAAGCTGTGCTTTAAGAGTTTGCCCCGAGCAATCCCAGAGCTGGCGCCAATCTCAGAGCCGGCGCCAATCTCATAAGCCGGCTGAAGCGTCGTAAGTAGGGAGTTTGCCGACGAGGACTCTCGACACCAACGCTCGTTGGGGGAGAAATATGTCAGAGGTGCTCCATTGTCTCAGATGGAATTTCCTCAACAGTCGTTCCGGCAAACGCTGAAGCTAGCACGATCCGCAGCGCTCCTACAGTCGGCCGGGTAGGACTCAGCTGACCGTGCTTCCTCGCCGGGCTCTTCCGCCGCCGCAGCTCTTACCTGTTTCTGGGACGCTTCGGGCACCATCTCAGCTGCATAAGTAAAAGGCTGCTCAGTTACAGTTGGTTCATCGGGTGGCGTAATTGACATTGCAGCCACCATGGCGCGACTTGATAATAAAGTAAACTTACGCCCGGCTGGCGAAGACCAGATCTTGCGTGTCGTTCCTCTGGATTGTTCAACAGATGCGCACCACCTGAGGCATGATGTAGAGAAAGAGACAGCACTAGCGGATTTTATGGCGCAAGTAGAACCGATGATTTCCAACGCCCGTCTCTGAAACCGTCGCAAACTCACGTCGTTATCGTCCTGCAGTCCGCACCCTGCGTGAGAACGGCAGGACGACGATAACCGGGAGACACCGCCGTGATAACCGCTCCCTCATTACCCTGTGTGAGGACGGCAGGACGACGATAACCGGGAGACACCGCCGTGATAACCGCCCCCTCATTACCCTGCGTGAGGACGGCAGGACGACGATAACCGGGAGATACCGCCGTGATAACCGCTCCCTCATTGCCCTGCGTGAGGACGGCAGGACGACGATAACCGGGAGACACCGCCGTGATAACCGCTCCCTCATCCCTTTCATGTGTGCGTTGGTGTCCTGTTCTAGCACGTGCATCGCCAGGTCATGCTTTTACGACACTGCCGCATCAGTGCGTGCATTTTACATGTCCTTTTCTCCGGAGGGAGTGTCGCGAGCTGCTCTGGTTCTTAGGTCCGTCGGAGCGTCCACAATGGCTACCATCTCTAACGCCGTGTTTAGCTGCGAAGATTATAAAACGTGTGGTCCGAGCTGCGGGGTTGCAGCCTTGTCCGCCCTCGCCCTTTAAACTTACCCCAGTTACTCCACTTGTACCCATAAACTTACCTGAGTTATCCCCGCTTGTGCCTATAAACTTGGTCTGAAGGCTCGATAACAACCTGCACAGGCCGTAGCGGCACTCCACCCCCCCCCCCCCCCCCCTACTGCCCAGACCGGCACTCAGATAGCTACCCTACGTCCCTTTGCCCAGGCCGCATCAGAGCCCCATCCCCCTCCCGCCCGCCCGGACTGGCACTCAGACGGCTGCCCTACGTCTCCTTGCTCATGCCGCATCAGCGTCCCCTCGCTCCCCCCTGCCTGCCCAAACCGGCACTCAGACGGCTGCCCTACGTCCCCGTGCTCAGGCCGGTCGCCGGACGGCCCAGCCGGCCAGCTGGAGGCGAGCGGCGGCGGCGGCGGTGGCCTGCGGCCGTACGTACGCCCCCTGCTGGCGGCGCTGCTCTCGGCCGTCAGCTGCCTGCTGCTGCTCACGGCCGGCTGCCTCTGCTACCGCCGCCACCCGGGCCCCTTCCGCGCCCGCTGCGGCAGCGGCTCCAGCGACGAGTGCGGCCAGCGCCAGGTGTACGACTTCATCTACAAGGCGAACCCGACCTCGTCCGGCGCGCTGGAGGCGAGTGGTCGGCGCGCTGTATCTGGCCCCCGCCGGCAGGCTGGACTTCACGCGGCCAGCTATTTTCGCGTGCTGCGTTCATGGGTTTGCTGAACGTCGGTTTGGTTGCTGCATTTCGTCTGGGAATATTGTCAGTTACCAGGGCGAGGTTTTCAAATTTTATTGAAACGAGACGGTTTGCGTGGTGTGCGATGAATGGTGGCCGTGCAGTAAGACCGCTCAACGGTAGTGTTTTGGTTGGGGCGCCCAGCCCACTTTGTATACATTTTGTAAGGCAAACGATGTTCGAGGCAACCGATATACGATGTCTTGAACACATGCAGACGGCTACATAACTCATAGCACCCCCGTTGACCGAACCCCCGGTGGTCGCAGATATAGTCTGTTGCACGTGTGCCGAGCCGGCGCGTGCCGGCCGGCCGGCCCGCATGACGCCGCACCCCTCCGCGCGCAGGCGGCCGGGGCCGGGCCGGTGTGGGTGCGCCAGCCAACGGCCGACACGGGGCCGCACGCCGGCTACATGGTGACGGGCGTGCCGGAGCTGCGCGCCGCCGAGCCGGCCGAGTACCGCAGCCGCGCGCCGCTGCACCACACCGAGACGCTGCAGATGGACAGGGTCCGTGCCGCTCCTGCTCACCGGCGGTAGTCGGCGCCGCGCGGGTCGAGCGTACCCAGGCGAGCGTGACGTGGCGGGAACGCAGAGGAAAGGCAGCGGTACTACGCACGCATGTTGACATGTAGCACTAATGGCGCTGCCTGCCTCGATGCAGTCTGGTCACTCACACAAAACCACCGCGCCAGAAAACGGTTTGGATACATGCAACTACTTAACGAAGCTACAGTCGTAAACTTGATCCGTTATGGATGCGCCACTGCTCATCCATGCAAATACGTATTATCTTGCCCCTTCAACACATCTAGTTGCGAAGGTGACAGCGCAGGGATCGATGGTGGGTGTACGGATGCCGGTAGTGTAGTGGTTAACGCGTCTGCGTTAACCACTGCGCGTCTGGGAAACCAGAGGTACAGGGTTCGGTTCCTTGCGTTGCCCGCCCTTCCAGCCAGGTTGAAAGGCAGGCGACGCCAGCCTTAGCCTCAGCAGCTAAGTGCGTCGTAAAGCCCAAATGACATGACATGAGATGATATGATGGCAGGTGTACCAGTGTCGGCGGTACGGCGCGCCACCGCCGCCGCCCTCGCCGCCATTCGACGACGCCGCCTCGCCCGGCGACGTGGACACGGACTCGTCACCGCGCGCCGACCGGTGGCGCCCCCACGGCCCGCCGGGCGCGCGCAGTCCGCCGCACGCGCGCAAAAGGTAAGTCGGCGGTGGGCGCTCGGCTGGGCGGCCTCTGACGCTGCTCAGCGCGTGAGGACAGCGCGTGGCAGCAAGTAAGCGGTGAGTGAAAGATCTTAAGGATGCCGTGGGTAAATGCAGGTCTGTTACAAGCCTTCCTAAAAAAATCGACGTAATTTTGTTTGGGTTTTGTGGTGGATGTCTCGATGTTTTGGTGGACAGTCATGCTCAAAATCCCTCATCTTCATGCTATTTAGCATGCTGTTTATGGCCGTTTCTTAGTTATCCATGGTTAGGGCTTCTTGCTTCCCAAGCGAGAAGCAAGAATGCGTAATTTTGTTACACCAGACTCTTTCGTGTAGGCATGTCTCGTTGCCAGTGCTACCCCAAAAAACGCAGAAAGAAAAAA